CAACTCTTGAAAATTAAATTTTGTTTACAACTTAAATTCAAAAAGACTAAGGCCTGTTCCGATGAATCAGAAATTTCGAATGGTGCAATGCTTTAGTAGTCTGTGTTCAGTAAACAAATTTCTTCTTTAAAATCCCTTGTAAACTGAATAATTTATCCTGTAGTTATGCTAACAAACACTTGCGTGACACTTTAGTTATGATGTTCAAAGAAAAATGTAATAGGCTTTATTTCATTCTAGCTTCTGGTTTAAGATATTATTCTTCTCTTCTGCGAACTAATTGCATCTGTCACTTTGTGTAGTGCCTTTAATTGAGTTTTGTTTACGTTTAGAACTGGTTTTCTTCAGTTATTTGTCAGCTTGAAACATAAGCAATACAGTTGCTGCGCGAAATTTGCTTTCCAGGATTTTTTCTCTCCAATGTAGCTACTGCCTCATTTAAGTAAATGCTTTAAGTATTAAATCGATTAACGCTCTTTCTGATGAAAGAAAACATTTCGGTTTATTTATAAGTAGTTAACTAAAGAAAAGTTTTGAAAACTGCAGTGTATGTGTGTTCCACTTATTTTTTTGACAGAAAATGCTATCCAAATCCAAAATCGAATTTTGATAAGGATGAAGAGATTTTCTAAAATGTATAGCCCAAGCGAAATGACATGAACATAAATGACATTAGACACCATCAATTGCAAAAGGAACACGGTTTCCATGATTTAGGGAAAGTTAAAAATACTATATTTTAACAGGAAAGCGGTAATTTTAAGCTACGCTGAGACTCTAGAGCCATGGAAATGAATGACGTTCATAGTGTTATTCCAGTATGCTTTGTCTATCCACTTAAAGAGTCTAACACGGTGATGTTTGTTGAACGTACTTTAATAGTGTAATAATTACATCAACTGGTGAAATTTCACAGTGATTTAATTATCACAGATTTCATTCGTTTTCAAAAGGATAGATTTATTGCATATGCCAAAGACTTTCTGTAGGTAAAAGTTGTTCGCAAAAGAGAATTATTTTAACATAAGTTCATCAACATAGAAAAAAACAGTAAGCCGACAGAAACTATCGCTTGATAACTTTATTTACACAAAAATCGTTGAGAAATATTCCCCATTACACCCTGATATGATTACTTGCCACAATGAAATATTTACTGTGGCATAAAAAATCAGTTATTTGTATACTTATACTGGTATACTTATCATGCAGTAACCTGCAAATATTTATAAATAACATTTCAATACTCATCACTGAGCGTGTCTAATATGGAACATTGTTTCGCAATACTTTTCGCAGTGTATCGTGAAATTGGTCACTGAAGATACTAATTATCTGGGCCACAGATGACGCCTACACCTGCAACAGTTACACTGAATCTAGGGAACAGTCAAAACAAAATATGGATTATAAACTGATTTCATATTTTGTTGCAAATATATGGTGACTTAAGGTCTGAAAATACAATTTCATTAAACCACTTCGTTTTTCATGAAGTCGACTGCAATATTCTATGCCATTTGCAGTCTGACAAGCGAGTTCTAAGTTACGTCGTGCTATTTCAGCAAGTGTCGTTGTGTGAAACTCCTAACTGTTTTTGCTGGTTCATCAACATATGTGAAAAGAAATGATGACATATAATACTGGCTGGTTGATATGTGTATTTTTTCATCTAAAAAATTTTGGTTTCCAAAGGAAAGTGAATTGGTGGAGTTTCATCTTGAATTGTGTTTTTAAAAGTCGCGAATTCATTTGCCGATTGCGAATTCGGTATATCCCAAATGGAGTACTTCTTTATTATAAGTCTTCTCCAGGAGTTTTAGATGACTGATGTCATACGAGTTGTACCTGTATATTACGTTTGATTCATATAGGGGAACTATTTAACAGATGCATGTAATTTACATGATTATATTTGTCCACATAACTCTAGGTTTTTCGGACCTGAACTGTTATTTTAATTATTTATTCTAGTGTTTACTGTCTTACCGCTGTTGATTTTCATTTATTGCATAAATCTATGGTCACATAGTGCGTGCATTTACTTACTTACATAACCTATCAAGCTAATGTATGAACTTCATAGAATAGCAGTGTTTATTAAAACGTAGCTATACACCATGTTTCCTTTAAGGTATAAAATATTTTTATTTTAGTTTAAGCTATGAAATGTTCTACCTCAACTTTATAGACTTTGAGAAGCCCTTCGACAGCGTTGACCGCGAAGTAATTTGGAAACTACCCGAGTACTACGGCGTACCCCAAATATTCATCAACCTTATTCAACAGCTGTACAACAACGGCACATGTCAAGTGATCCACAACGGAAAACTCAGCGAAGCGTTTGGAGTAAACACAGGAGTCAGACAAGGGTGTTTATTATCACCAATGATATTCCTAATTGTGGTGGACTGGATTATGCGTCAGACAGTGGGAAACGAGAAGACAGGGATATCCTGGACCGACATGAAGAACCTAGAAGACCTGGATTTCGCGGATGATTTATGTTTGATGTCACACAAAATCGAAGACTTACAAGCGAAAACCGACAAACTGGTCGAAGAAGCAGCAAAGACAGGACTCCAGGTGAACATAGACAAGACGGAGGTCATGAAAATAACCAACCAACAACAACAACAGCAGCAGCAACATCCAGTGCCAATCACCATCAATGGGAGGGATTCGAAAGAGGTTACTTCATTCACTTATCAAGGGAGCATTGTTTCAACTACAGGAGGAACGGACGAGGATGTCAAATCGAGAATCGGGAAGGCGAGAAACACATTCATCAACCTGAAACCAATCTGGAAATCTTCGTCACTCAGCCTGCATCAACAACAAAATTCGGATTTTCAATACAAATGTCAAGTCAGTCAGTTCTTCTATACGGATCAGAAACTTGGCGGGTCACAAAGAATATTTTCAACAGGTTGCAGACCTTTATCAACAACTGTCTTTGCTCTATACTGAAAATCAGATGGCCGGAAAGAATCACCAACAAGAAACTATGGGAACGAACAAAACAGGAACCAATCGCCCAACAAATATGCAGGAGAAAGTGGAAATGGATTGGACACTCGCTGGGTGACATCGCGCGTCAGGCTCTCGAGTGGAACCCGAAAGGGAAGTGGCGAGTGGGACGTCCAAGGGTGACATGGAGGAGATCGTGTGAAGAGGAATTGAAACAGTATGGACTAACATGGACGCAGAAGACAAAAACAAGTGGAGGCTTGCAGTTGAAGCCCTATGTTTCACTAGGAATCCAAGGGAACAATAATAATTATAATAATGAAATGTTAGTCAAAAAGTCAAGCCAGTTGATGAGGTTGTCAATCACTATGTGCTAAGGTTGGGGTAAGCTGGTAGATGTTAGAGATGGCAGCTGAAGTAGTATTATACTGAATGAATGTTAAGATCAATTAATTCAAAATATTGCATCACTTCATGAAGTCCATAAGAGTAGGATAGAGGGAGGTAAAGAGATATAAGCTGCCTGAATGAGGCCAAAGTGGTGCTAAGGATCACTAGAAGATTACTTTGGTGTAGCTGAAGTTTAATGATAGTGTGTGAATGGATTCACTCTTTATCATATTCCTGATTATTTAAATCTTTACTAAAAATCATTTAATTGTCCACTTTCTTATACATATCTCTGTCACTTGCAGCACCACCAAGTTTCTGGTGTTTTAAATTATACTTTATTTTTGTATTTGCTGAAACTTAAACCATTACACTTCCTCTCAGCCTGTGCTGTAATTCGTTAGTTGGTTAATCAATGAAGTTTGATTATTCGACTGAATCTAAATATAAGGAATCTTTGCATGTAGTCTATCTAGAAAATTAATTATACTGTATTAAGTCCTGGAGATCCACCTGAATCAATTATACATGTGGACTAAATTTCAAGTGAAATACCAATAGAAAAGTTTTTATTTGTCCTCTTTATGATTTTATACAACAGTTAAGTAAATTTCCAGGTGACTGAGGTGTAGTAAGGATTTCACCAGCCTCTGAATCTCTGCGATTTTCAGGGGTGATTGTTTTCTCTTCCTATGGAATAGGTTTGTTGAGTCAAGAAAATGAAAAATATTCAAATTATGAGGCGTTACTAATAAATACAAAGTTTACTAACTGACTGAGGAGTTTTGGGTTAAAATGTTTATCTTTTATTGTATAGAAAACCAAAAGTTAAATATTCTACTGCGTCAAGCATCTACCTCACAGATTTCTGCATTAACGGGGACTTTGTTTTGATAAACCGTTTTGGAATGCTTAGACTCATTTGCTTATGTAAATCTGATTCAAGTGAAGAATATGTACTTTTCGGGGATCTAAATGCCATATAATGAAGCTTAATTGGGTTGTCTAAATCAAATATGCTCGCAAATCCTTTCTCACTAAATGTTTTTTAAACTTGAACTCATGTCTCATTTTTTTCATGGGTTCTTTTCAACAACCTGCATCCTGGAAAATTACAAAAAAAATCTGGACATACTTCTGTGTGTTAACATGGAGTACTTAGTAAAAACTATAAGCAACATAAGTCCGGGATAATGTATGCAGTTAAATTATTAAGTGTTGTAGCATAATTAGACAAATACTTTTGAAAAAAGGCAGAGGTGAAGATTTTAGATAGAAAGAAAATTTAACTAGGAAGAGCATTTTAGTAGAGCAGGTTGCGTAATTACAAAAAGTATTTATATTAAATGGAAGAAAGGAGTAAGTTGAGTGACGTTCAGATACAAAAATTGTCTTGACAGGAAGAAAGCTCTAGACGAATGTGTGACGTAATAATAAAATAATAATGTTCACTCAACCCTTTTGAGCTCATATTATCCTGCTACATTTGGTTTTTGCTCTAAGTAAATTTATTAGGCATAAGAAATATATGAATTATGTTTTAATTTACTTCTGAAGTGTTAGTAGCAAACACATCTTGTTATATTTTAGTATTCAGCATTACCGATAATAAAATGCCCATTCTTTGATTTCTTTTATAGGGTTACACAAAGGCTGTTGATTGGTGGGCAACTGGTGTTTTAATATATGAGATGGTTGCCGGTCATCCGCCGTTTTTCGCTGACGAACCAATCGAAATTTATGAACGGATCGTAATCGGAAAAGTAAGTTAAAAAAACTGCACACTTCAATATGACGTTGAACAATGTGGATTTTTTCTTCTAGCTGTTTTAAAATGGTTTACTCAACATTCAGTAAATATCATACTTTTACTTTGACTAATAGGCATAAAACAGTTACAAAAATCAGAGCTAGGAGATCTAATTACCTTTAGCCCTTTCCACTTTTCTTAACTGCTAATAACTAAAAATAGATCAAATTGAAAAATTTACTGAAAACACTTTCATACTCCAATCGGTCCTTCAAAAGAGATATTATTATCGTCTAACTGAAAACACAAGGATAAAAAACCAGAGTTTCACATTTTGTTAATGAGGTTTTCGACAAGTCGAGAAACTGGATAAATCTCTATAATTAAGAAGGAAAGTTGGGCAATCAATAAGTAGTATTTTTTTATAAAAAATAATAAAACGTAAGCGTGTATATTAGGAAGGGGTGTATGAACTAAAAGGTTTGAAATAGCTGAAAATAAAAAGTTTAGACGTCAGATAAATAACATGCAAATTATGGAATGCCCAAAAGTTAACTTTGTTTTGAAACTAAACAAGAAAAATAATTTTTCCGATGTATAGATCTCATGTGTTTGATCACTAGATTCGAATAACTGGATGTTACAGGACATGGAACGAAAGATTGTTATTATCCAATTTATTCTGGCAAAACGTGTTTATCTGTGAATACTGTATCACTATAGATGGTAGCTTGCTGGGCACTAGAATAAATCAAAGGTGGCCCTTTCTTAGTGGGCCTAATCACGTGTGTTAAACTGGATATTTTAGTTTCAATTATATACTGTACATAAAACAGGTATTTTAGTTGGTTCACTTTCTGCTAAGGGAAATATTTGTTATAAAAGTAATTAGGTAACGACACTGAAACAGTATAAAAACATGGAAATAACGAAATATGTGACATTACTTGTTTTACAGAAGGACTCTGGTATGACTAAGAAAATTGGTATCTCAGGCAGATACATTTAAGTACTTTTGTGACTTTAATAACATATTCCAAATAATATAATTGGTGGTCACTTAAAAAATGAAGTGGGCTTCTTGAATTTTATATCAGTCAAACATCTACCAAAAATCCTATAATGTTCACTTTTATATATAAGTATACTGTTTCAATGTGTGTGATTAATAATCACCGTTGTTAATTTTATCCTTCGTAGAAAAAGAACCAGTAAAGGTCTAGAATTCATTCATTGAAAAATTCATATATATATATATATATATATATAGATATATATATGATTTTTATGGGCTCATTTTAGTGCTTAACCAGTATTTATTGTATCATTGACTGTGTAATTAATCTACTTCATCTTCCTGTGTTCACTACAAGTAGGTGAAATCATACTTCGCTCATATTCAATGAACTACACCTGAAATATCCAGTTTTTAGTTGGAATTCAATTAAAACTAACTAATTATCTTTTCCTCAGTGAACCTTATATTTCTATGTTTAAATATTGATGAGGCGCTTACCTATATTTTCAATTCAAACAATTCATTAAGATGGCAGTCTGTCATCCCACCCCGTCTCTCACTGTCAGCATAAATCATTCTGTCCTGACTGCTTATCTTAACTGAAAAAATTGATTGATATTGAAATATTTCTGACTGAAAATTGGCTTCTTTTACGAAGTGAGCAGACATAAATGATCAAAAGATAAATTAATTTCTACATGTCATTAAAAATTAAACTATGCTATGTTGACAAAGATGATTTTATGAATGTGTGTAAACCACTTGTATTCCCATTTACACTGCATATTTTTAAGTGTCAAGAGTAGAAGTAGTTTCGAAGATTTTATAAAGTGTGCAACTAATCTTGATTATACTACTAGTGTAAAAGGAAAAAACATAAAGTAACATAGTGTACACTATATTTTGTAGTGAAGCTAAGCGAATCTCCTCAAAGCCAACACGTAAAAATTTGAATAAATCAAGAAAAACAGCTTAAGCAGAATAATATAGTACAATCATTTAGTTCTTCGCCTTCTCATCAACTGCTTACAGCCTAAATAAATTATTAAGTTTATGGACAGAAAACTTTTAACATACTTCATCATTTTACATGATGTTAGTTGACAGCAAGTTCTGGACTTAGTGAACAGTGCTCAGAAAATTAAAGTTTAAACAAAGTAAATGTATGCATACAATGGTAAGGGAGTTACGTAATAAAGATGGGAGATACGTAAGATGATGAGTAACTAATAAATAGCGTAACAATGTACTGAATTCAACTCAGACTATGGAAAAAACAGACAAGCAAAGTTTCGTAATATCAAATGGAAGAGAAGTTAAAGCCGAAGATTGCGTAACCAGGCGAGAGGGGGAATAAAGACATCCAGTTACCATCATGGGAAAAAAAGATTGATAACTGTTTCTTTCTGAACCCATAAATAGGGTTTTAGGTGTTTGACAGAGACTGCTTCGTCAAACTTGAGGATAACTGAAATATTTTGACTTTTGATAATTTAAAAGGATTTCGTAATTTACACCTCATGATCCTAGTAATAACACCATTGTAAGCGTTTGTTCCCTTGAAACGTAGGATTTTTGGTACATGTTCAGAAAATAGGAGGTGTGTTCTTCATTCTGTTCTACCAGTGTAACTGCTCCAGCAGATACATGTAAATTTGTATAGACAGTTGAAGTTAACATGAAAAGGGCATCTGTCGTCTTTTGATTGCACCAAACAGCATGTTGTCCTACAGACGGAAACCAACTTAGCTGCAGGTTAGACTCAAGCTAGTGACGTACTCAATCAATCTGCAATATTTTCACCTTTAAAATCGAGTTGAATGAAGACAGGCTTTTTTCCCACTGTGATTTGTTTGATGTTTGAGCCTTCACCTCTTCTATATTTGCTAATGAATCTCAGGGGAAACCGTTGCTTTTCAATGTCTCTTACTGCAGCACTGGATGACGCGTTTCCGAATCACAGAAGGGACTTGAGTTCCTTCGAGGTTGCAGGCACGCCTTGCTGACGAGTGCCAACTAGCACGAAACCTAGGTCCAAGGTTTCCTGCTGATTGCTTCCAACCATCTAACATCAATTCAAAGTGCATTGTGATGGCGAGCTCCCTAGAATAGTGGCCACATTGCACCAAACTAAGGACTAGATACAACACACTAGTTACTAGTGTCCGATGAAAGAATTTTAAGTTCTTCCTCCAATTTCTCTGTGGAGCATATTCTCCTTGCTCTTTAGTAGGACAGAAGGCAAGAGCCAGGCAACAGATCATTTATTAAGGAAATCAACGCATATTTATATATTTGCATGTACATTACTATGGATATTTAAGCAAACAAACACAGTCTTCTGATTGGTTGTTTCTCACGTAAAGTTAATCTTTCATCTATTTGTGACTGTTTCTTGAATGTCAAATCCTCTACATGTTAACTGCATCCGCCTACGCAAAGTTTGCTGTGGTCGGTTTTGAATCAATCTTTGTTCACATTTTCTCACGACAAATCTTGGGAACGTAAATATTGACGTAAATTACTGTCTATCGATTTGGCTAGTAGACAGCTCTCACCACACGGGGTCTTGACTAGTGCTCGTTTGAAGCTATTTGGACAAACCTATTAAAATATAGGTATTGTTCATTCCACGTAAGTTGACCTCTAGATACCAACAGCTTCCAGGGGTTGTATGGCAATGTCAAGGAAACAGAACTTTCCATCATTTTCACGTTCTATAGTAAATTCAATATTTGTATGTGAGTCTTTGAATAATCAGAGTAGGTAGGAAGCATAACTTTCATTGTTGCACACTACAGATGAGTCACCTACATGTCGGCAATTAGAAGTTTTTCGTCGATTGCATGCTTCAACTTTGCTTTCGCAAGGTTGGACAAGGCTGTTCTTGCTTTGTTCAAATTCATTAAGGGGAACGAATGAATGATATAAAAATTTATTTGCATTATTCGCAGTGAATAATAGATCGAAAAGGGATTTTACTATAAATTTCTACGATCAAGAAAGTAGGTGTTACCTGGATGTGTCATATAAGTGATCCGACAGGACCTAATTCTTTTGTCTTTATTTCTGATGACCTCATGCATTAGGGTAATTTATGCGACATTTTCGTTGCTTCTGCAGGCCAACTTAAATTCATGAAAGCTATATTTTTCGTTTAAGATTTGCTAAAGGCAAATTCTCCCTGGTTGTGTTTTCTATACTTTTGCACTAGTGAGCACAGGTTTACTGGTGAAGCAAGCCTAGGAGGGAAAAAAATCAGGACGTTTTCGACCGCCTTTTTTTTGTTACATCCTACCCATACGAAACAACAAGTCAAACATTCCTACATATTTATCTAGCCATCTGATCATGGTTTTAGCTTTACAGTGCTGGTTTTATTTGCATTCATTTTTCTATCATATATTTGAGGATGCGTAAAAGCTACTATATTGTTCTGTTACAAAAACACAGACCAAACTACTTTGAAAACATTTTAAGTTAATTTGCTACAACTGTAGCACTCATAGTTATTATTTCATTCCTTTGCGTTCTCAGTGAAACATAGGTCTTCAAGCTCGAACTTTGAAATTCCAGCAGTAGTGGTGGCTTTTTACGGGGCGGGTTTGCTGGCCTCTCTCCAAACCGTCCCTCTTTGTCGAGATTATTACCAGATGAGGGATTTAAAGGAGTACACCGGGCGGTTACCCAACACCGGCTCACGTGTACGTTTAGCCATAGTAATACAGATTAATCTGTGCATTCATTCATTAATTTTACAATTATGATCGTTAGAGTATTTTGATGGTAGCATGTGTAACATAGACAAGTTTTATACAAAAATAATAGTGTTTATTTATCAATGAGGTATATAGCTGCACTTAATTTAATTTACATTAACAGAATATCACTTCTTAGAGCATTAATTCTCACTACCAGAGACAACAGTGTAAATACAAAATATTGTTGTGTGTGATGTCAGTTATTTGTGATATTAGTCGAAAATGTATACTGAT